ACCATCAGCATCAGCATCAGCATCAGCATCAGCATCAGCATCAGCATCAGCATCAGCATCAGCATCAGCATCAGCATCAGCATCAACATCATAATCACCATCACCTTTATCACCATCATCCTCACCATCAGTTTCATCATCATGATCAGCATCATCAGCATCATCTTCATCTTCAGCATCAGCATCAGCATCAGCATCATCACCACCAACAGCATCATCATCATCAAACTCGCCACCGCCATCGTAATCACCATCGTCATCAACATTAAGGCCGTCAACATCACCATCATCGTCATCGTTCCCCGCCCATTCCTGCACGCCCTTACACGGCTCGTGGCCCGATAGAGGGCTCCACCGAAGGCCCCAGCGGCAGGGTCCGCATTCAGTTCCACCCTCATTTCGGCACACCCCTCACACGGTTCGTGGCCCCATAGGGAACTCCACCGAAGGCCCCAGAGGCAGGGTTCGCATGCAGTTCCACCCCCATTTCGGCGCACCCCTCACACAGTTCGTGGCCCCATAGGGGGCTCCTCCGAAGGCCCCCTTGCCAAGATTCGCATGCAGTTCCATCCTCATTTCGGCGCACTCTCACATGGTTCGTGGCCCCATAGGGAGCTCCACCGAAGGCCCCATTGCCAGGGTTCGCATGCAGTTCCACCCTCATCTCGGCGCACCCCTCACACGGTTCGTGGCCCCATAGGGAGCTCCACCGAAGGCCACAGCGGCACAGCGGCAGGGTTCGCATGCAGTTCCACCCTCATCTCGGCGTACCCCTCACACGGCTTGTGGCCACATAGGGAGCTCCACCGAAGGCCCCAGCGGCAGGGTTCGCATGCAGTGCCATCGTCTTTTCGGTGCACCCCTCACACGGTTCGTGGCCCCATAGGGGGCTCCTCCGAAGGCCCCAGCGGCAGGGTTCGCATGCATTTCCATCCTCATTTCGGCACACCCATCACACAGTTCGTGGCTCCATAGGGAGCTCCACCGAAGGCCCCATTGCCAGGGTTCGCATGCAGCTCCACCTTCATTTCGGCGCACCCCTCACACGGTTCGTGGCCCCATGGGGAGCTCCACCGAAGGCCACAGCGGCAGGGTTCGCACGCAGGTTCACCCTCATCTCGGCGCACCCCTTACACTGTTCGTGGCCCCATAGGGCGCTCCACCGAAGACGTTACTCACAACTGCGACACCCACAATTGCATATGGTTGGGTCCTTCGCCAAGCTAATTCTTTGACAGGGATGGTAGGGGGGTGTCCGCATGGTTTCTGGTTGGCCGCCGGTCGCCTGGGGGATGGGTGTATATTAATAAGGGACAATGATCAACACCTCCGAGTAGGGAATGGAGAGAGCTTTGGCAGAGATAAGAAACAGTTCATGAAATAACCTACGCCCAGAAGGCTGGTGGGATTAAGCATGTCGGGTGCTAGCGAAGTAGCTCGGCGCCCCCCCCCTTGGAATACCACCATCTCTCTGGGCGTAGGTGGTTTAACGAACTGTGTCTTCTCTCTGCCAAGGCTCCCTTCTTCCCCTGCTCAGCGGAAGGGTTTACCCCTCCCCCTGCCCCTCCCCTGGGTCTGGGAAGGGGGAGGGGCGCGGGTAGCTAAAGCGCCCGAGGTGGCCGAAGATGGCTCCAAGAGGGCCTCAGAGAGCCCAAGATGACCTCCAAGATGATGCAAGATACATCAAGATGGTTCAAGGACACACATCCAAGACGCCTCAAGACGGCCCCAAGACGGTTTGAAGTGCCCTCCGAGCCCTCCAAGAAGCCACCCAGGGGGCCACCATCCTTCAAATACCTGAGGCCTCAAGATGGCCCCACTACGGCCCAAGAGAGCCCCAAGAAGGCCTCAAACTATAACTTTTGAGCCTCCGAGGGGGGGGGCTGGGTTTATTACCCCCCTCTGTTGGAGCCATGGGGCGCAAGACGGCCCAAAAAGGCCTCCCAGACCCTCCCAAAGAGCCTGAAGAGGGCCCCAAGAAAACCCCAAGAGAGTTCGAAAAGGTCTTCAAGAGTGCCTCAAGGGACTCCGCGAGGACCCTCAGAGAGCACCGAGATGGCTCCAAGAGACCTCCGAGAACACGCTTCCAAGACGGTTGCCGCACTGCATGCTTCTACACTGCCCTGATCACAGCCTCTCGCCTGGCGATCTTTCTGGATGGGCTGGGCTAGTTGGTGTGGCGGGTAACGGAGGAAGATCGATAAATGCATGGTACGGTTAATACTGACACCGATGCCCCTCCCACATTCCCACGTTTCTCGGCGGAGCGTAGGCTACAGCGTTCGAAAGAATACACGATTGCATACACGTGCAGCTACTACGCCAAGACCGCACACTGCTGCACCCATGCACGAAATCATACAAGCACTATTGCACCTACTCCGGTCCCGAACCTGTGCTACCCCCAATACCCTGGCTTAGATCGTCGCCGCGGGCGGTTTCGCCTCGAAATCCTGATCAGAAGCGCCCAAATGCTCGAGTTCACGTCAACATGGATTACGGATCCGTGGATCTAGCGTTGGGTCGGGCATGTCCCCCTAGAGTGGGATTTTGGGCGGAAAATTAAACACAATACCCAACACATGCCCCAAAACTGCCCAAAAATATTCAAAAACTAATCCCTTGACTACTTTTTGACTATTTTTGGATATTCCCCCTGTTTTGAATCTAGCGCGCGGGCGCCAAATCCACGGAGTCGGTGAGGTGCCTCCCGAGAGACAAAGCCTATGCCGCCCGATCTGGCGACAGAGCGCGCCGATTCTGCACGGGAGCAGGACCCGTCACTAATCCACACGTCTCTCGTGCTTCGACGATGGCTCTCGAGTTATCCCGTAGGGTGGGGAGACGAACTCTATACACCGACGCTTTTTCCGACCCTGCGCCGGAATTCGCACAGGAACGCGGATCCTGGTGCATACGGGATCCTGGTGTATACATGCTTCGTTGCGTCCCTGGGGAAACGGGGAAACGTATACGTCACACCACCCCGACGTCGCCCCCGACCCTCAACAAAAAGTCTTGGGACTGAAAAAACAGCCCGCCACTGGTGATGTGTATGTTCCAGTTTCCGACCAGAGGGGGGAGGGGAGGTGTGGACCGATTGCCTCACCTTTTCGCGCTGGGCAGCCTGTGGAACAAAAACACACACGTGGAACAAAAACACACACACACACACAAAAAAAAACACACACAGACGTGTGTGTTTTTGTGTTTTGTTTTCCACAGACGTGTGTGTGTTTTTGTGTGTTGTGTGTGTGTGTGTTCTTTTGTGTTTGTTTCCGACCATGGGGGAGGAGGGGAGGCTGTGGACCGACCGATGGCCTCACCTCTTCGCGCTGCGCAGCCCCACGCATGCCCGCGCGCAGCAGCGCTGCGGTGGGGGAGGGGGTCGGGGGCGGGCGGGCCCGATGACCCGCGCTGTCGCCGGACCCCCAAGAGTACCCGAGACGCACCCGACTCCTGCTCCACACGAGGCTTTATCTTGCTTCCATCCGACTTGAGGACCGCATCCCAGAAAGAATTTCCAGCACCCAGAACAGTGCGGAAAGAGTGTTTGGAGAGTGTCGATACAGTGTCGACAGTTTCCCCCAGGGCCCGACACGTGAAAACCCTAGATTTTTGGTGTGTTTTCTTGGTGCTCGAAATTCATCCGGGTGATCAAGGCTAAAGCAGGTTGGAACATCAGAACACGAGGCGACTATTTGCATGAACGCTCCATCGAAGGGAACGCCCCGCGAGATATGCACGATCCGCGCAGCCCTGCACTGCGCCGCCGCTCCCGGGAGCCCACGACAGTGGTGACGGTGGCGCAGTTCGCAGCCCCCGGGGGAGCCGCGAGGTCTCGCCCCGATCTGCGCTGCCCTGCGCTCCGTCGTGCCTCCCAGGGAGGAAACGAGCGTGGCGGCACTTGCGCAGTTCGCAGCCCCGCAAGGGAACCGCGAGGTCTCGCCTGGATCTGCGCTGCCTTGCACTCTACCGTGCCCCCCAGGAGCCAACGAAAGTGGCAGCCACAGAGGGAGCCACGAGAACTGTCGCACTCGCCTCCGCCGTGCCTCCCAGGAGACAACGAAAAGGGGCGACCGTTGCGCAGCCTCGAGTCCCAGGAGCCCAGTGGCGACAATCGCGCAGTTCGCAGCCGCAGAGGGAGCCGCAGGGTTTCCAAGTGATCCGCGTGGCCCTCACCTCCGCCGTGCATCCGAGGAGCTGGCTCACATGGCAACAATCAGTTGCGCGCTTCGCAACCTCGCAGGAAGCCGCGTGGTCTCGCCTGGCTCTGCGTGACCCTCACCTCTGCCGTGCCTCCAAGGAGCCCACGTCAGTGGCGACAGCTGCGCAGTTCGCAGCCCCCGAGGAGCCGCGTGGTCTCAAAATGACCTGCGCTGCCATGCACTCCGCCGTGCCTCCTGGGAGAGTGGCGGCAGCTGCGCAGCTGGCAGACCCAAGGGAGCCGCGAGGTCCCAAATGACCAGCGAGGCGCTCACCTCCTCCCGCAGCCCCCGCGAGGTCCCAAATGATCTGCGGTGCCCTGCACTCCGCCATGTCCCCCAGGAGCCCACGGAAGTGGGGACAGTTGCACGGTTCGCAGCCCCCCAGCAGGAAAGGTACGCGGACGTGAGGCAATGAGGCATGAGAAGTTGGAGGCAGGAGGCGAGCAGGAGGGGGAGGAGGAGGGGGACGCGCGAGCAGTTCTCTATTTTGAAAGAAAAACCAGCACAGGAGCGTTGCGAAGAAACAGTCTCTTACACTTCTTCGAGGGGCAGTTCCAGGTCGGCTACACGCAAGAGTGACCCTGGGTAAGAGTGACCTTTGGTGCGCGGCTTTTGGGGGGCCGCGGTGGGGCCAAATCCAATCGCGCAAGACGCTACTATCGTATCGCGTTCGGCGATCGGGGGGGCCCAATGGGCCCGCACCAAAGGTCCCTCCGGCGAAAGGTCACTCTTTACGTCCAATCGACCTGGCATCAGCGGCGTCGTTCCCCCCCCCCCCCGCCCCCGGCGAACCGGGACACGGGCGCGGCGCGCTGCGCGGGCGCGGCGCGGGCCCAGCCGGGGCGGCGATACAGCGGGCCGTACACGAAGCGGCGCTGGCCCGCCTCCTCTCGAGGGCGCCCAAAGAGGGGTGCGCCCAGGAGGTGGGCGCCCAAACCGTGGCCCGAGGTATTTGCGCTGGCGAGGGGGGGGTGCAGGGACTGCATTGAGAGAAGAGGAGGGGGCCATGAGATCGGGGGGGATGTCTATCCCACCAGTCGCCACCCCCCGTCGTGGCCGCCCCCGATCCTCCCGGGGCTCGGCCAGGACCACCAGCGCCCTGCGCACCGCCACGAAGCTGGGGCCCAGCGGGAGCCGCTCCAGCAGCTGCTCGCAGGTGAGCCCCTCGCGGCCCGCGGCCTGCAGCAGGTCCGAGACCGCCGCCATGATCTCCGAGGCCGGCGGGCCCTCCGCCATGAAGAGGTCGTAGAGCTCCTGGCGCGTCTTCGGGATCGCGGTGCCCACCTTCAGCTCCACCGTCGGCTTCGTGTCGAGGTGGAGGATCTTCTTCTCGGAGCCCACGGTCCTGCTCGCGCTGCTCTTCGAAAACGAATCCTGCGCCCGCTGCTCCACCAGGCCACGGTAGCCACCGTCCCGTGCGTCGGCCGTGACGGTGAGGGCGACCACGGGCCCGTGGACGGCCACGTCTCCGTCGCCCTTGGGGTACGCGAAGAGCTCTGGGGCGTCGCGCTGCACCAACGCCAGGGTCGAGGGCTGGCTGACCTTGCCACTGCCCGCGGGCAGTCGCAGCACCCCGGCCTGGAGGTCCACACTGGCCACCTCCACCCCGGGGGCGGCCGCGAGCCAGGACTCCGAGATCCACTTCGGCACCTTCAACAGGATCGGCGCCCGCTCTGTCGCCATCGGCCCGCGCGGCCGCCCCACGGGGGCCCAAACCCCGCAGCTCGGGCCACGACGCGGGCGCGCGGCAACCTCGCGGAGTGGCGGCGGCCTCGCGAAGGGGCGACGTGACTGGACGCACGCGAGGCCGCCGCCGCAGTAGCCGCCGTGGGTCCCCGCGCTGCCGCCCGCCGTCCATCCCTCGTCCCCCATCTGCCCACCTCCCTTCCCGTTCCTCCTCCTCCTCCTCCTCCTCCTCGTCCTCCTCCTCCTCCCACTCCCACACCTCCTCCTCCCCCTCCTCCTCCTCCTCCTCCTCCTCCTCCTCCGTTTCCTCTTCTTATGATTATTCGCATTAGTCTCCGTATTATTATTATTGGAATTATTCTTCTTTTACGTATTAGTATTCGTATGGTCATTCTTATTCTTATTATTATTATTCTTCTTCTTCGTCTTTTTCTTCTTCTTATTATTAAAAAAGTATTACAATTACTATTATTATTATCATTATTGTTATTATTACTATTATTAATATTATTAGTATTATTAATATTATTTATGTTAGTATTATCATCATCATCAGTATTATCAGTATTATTATTATTAGTATTAGTATTATTATTATTATTATCATTAGTATTACAACTACTATTATTATTATTAGTAATATTATTAGTACTATTATTATTAGTATTAGTATTATTATTATTAATATTATTATTCTTATTCGTATTATTATTATTCTCAGTGTTATTCTTCTTCTTCTTAGTATTATTATTATTATCAGTAGTAGTAGTAGTATTATTATGGTTGTTATTATTCCTCCTCATCCTCCTCCTCCTCCTCCTCCTCCTCCTCCTCCTCCTCCTCCACCTCCTCCTCCCCCTCCCTCCTTCTCCTCCTCCTCCTCCTCCTCCTCCTCCTCCTCCTCTTCTCCCCCCACCTCCTTCTCCTCCTCCTCCTCCTCTCCTCCTCCTCTCTCCTCCTCCTCCTCCTCCTCCTCCTCTCCCCTCCTCCTCCGTGGTTTTCCTGTTCCTTTTCCTCCTCTTCCTCGTCCTCCTCCTACTTCTCCTCCTCCTGCTCCTCCTCCTGCCCTCTTCTTCCACCTCCTCTTCCCCCTCGTCCTCCTCCTCCTCCTCCTCCTCCTCCTCCTCCTCCGCCTCCAACCCGAGCTACAATTCCTCTTCCTCCTTCCTCCTCCTCCTTCGACTCCTCCTCATCCTCCTCCTCTTCCTCCTCCTCCTCATCAGCATCATCCTCGTCCTCCTCCCCCACCGCCTTTCCCAAATCCAACTTCGATCCCTCCTCCTCCTCTCCTCCTCCTCCTCCTCCTCCTCCTCCTCCTCCTCCTCCTCCTCCTCCTCCTCCCCTCCTCCTAATCCCCCAACTCAAGCTCCATTTTCAACTCCGAAATCAACTCAAACTTCAACTCACATTCCATAATCACCTCCATCTTCAACTCCTCCTCCTCCTCCTCCTCTTCCTCCTCCTCTTCCTCCTCCTCCTCCCCCTCCTCCTGACGCGAGTGGGAGGAAACCTCCTCATCCTCCTCCTCCTCGGCCTCTTCCTCCTCCTCTTCCTCCTCCTTTTCCTTCTCCTCCTCCTCCTCCTCTCCTACCCGTGTCTATATAAGTTGCCTCGCGACGTGCCCAACCCATCAGCACCAAGTGAAACTATAACATGTGCCGACGATAATGTGACAGCAGCACCACCAGACACGGTTGAACGGGGTGTATCTATATCGTGCGAAGCTCTTGTGGCCGGCTCGCAGAGCAGAGGTACAACATGCAAGGAGGCACTGGACTGTCAAGGATGAGCAAAAGGAATACATTGAAGTGAAAGGGCGAGCACCTCCGCTGAAGCAACGATATGATAGAGCATGGGAAAGAGAAGGTTACATTGGCGGAAACGCAACCAAACAACGATGTGTCCCTTTGATATTGCCGAACTGCTCAAAACGTGCGTGGCCAACACTCCGCGTTGCCGCGGCGCCTCAAAAAAAATCGAAGCTTAATTTTTACATTAAAGAAGCGGTGAAGGCCCAATTCTCCCGCCAGCCTCTCCGTTCCCTCCCTGCACCTCTCAATGCGAGCACCAAACGCGCGCAGGCGCGCCGCCAGGTCAGCGGGCGGGCCGCGGGAAATGAAATCAAACCCAGGGTCGCGTATCATCAGCAAGTTGTCCACCGTGGTCGCTCTCAGGAGCATGGCGTAGAGATGCGGAAGATCCGGCCCTGTCAGGCCATGGAAGTGCGGACCCCGGCGTGCGAAATGACAAGCCCGGCGCCCCCAGAAACCCTCAAAAGTAGCGACAACTTCGCAGATCGCAGCCCCCCATGGAAAGCCGGTATCTAATTCGAATCGGCCGCCGGCACCAATCATGTAGTTTCCCCCAGAAGCTCTCGAAAGTGGCGGCAGTTTCGCAAATCGCACATTTCCCTCCCCCCCAGGAATGTCGAGTTCAAACTTGAATCTGTCGTCGGCACCCATTCTGCTCCCCCCCGGCAGCAGTCATCAAAAGCAGCGACACATCCGCAGAGCGCAGCCCACCCCCGAGGAAGGTCGAGGTCTTCTTTGAATCTGCCGTCGGCACCCACCATGATGCCCCTCCTCCCTTCCGCAACCTTCGAAAGTGGCGGCGGCCTCGCCCTTCGCAGCCACCCAGGGACGTCGAGACGATGCTGGCCCTCCAGCAGCCCTCGAAAATGGCGATAGTTGCACACTTCGCAGCCACCCAGGGACGCCGAGGTTTAATTTCAATCCGACATCGGCACCCACTATGCTGCCCCCCCCCGGCAACACTCAAAAGCGGCGACCGTTTCACACTTCGCAGCGCCCCAGGGACGTCGAGGTTTAATTTGAATCTGCCGTCGGCACCCACGATGCTGGCCCCTCCAGCAACCCTCGAAGCTGCCCCAAGCATGTCGAAGATTCATGTGCATCTGCCGTAGGGACCCACTATGCTGCATCCCCCACAGCGGCACTCGAACGTGGCGACATGTCGCAGATCGCAGCCACCGGGGGCGTCGAGACCTAATTTGAATCTGCCGTCGGCACCCCCTACGCTGGTCCCCCCAGCAGCCCTCGAAAACTACGATGGTTGCAAATTTCGCAGCCACCCAGGGATGACGACGTCTAATTTCAATTCGCCATCGGCACCCACTATGCTGCCCCCCCCAGCAGCACTCGAAAGCGGCGACCGTTTCACACTTCGCAGCGCCCCAGGGATGTCGAGGTTCTATTTGAATCTGCCGTCGGCACCCACCATGCTGTCCCCCCCCCCCACATCAACCCTCGAACGTTGCGACAGTTTCACGCTTCACGGCTCCCAGGATGCTCGCAAGAAGTTGCAGGCAGGCGAGATGGGTACAGGGGGCGGGAAATGGAGAAGACGGGCCCCACTGATTTTTCAAAACTAAAATCCAACCAACTAAAATCCTCCCCTGCGCACCCCCAGACGTCTCGGGCGGGCAGTCAAGGCCTTTCGCCTGGGCCTGGGCTGATTCTGAACCTTGCCAAGTACAACAACTTCTAGGATGGAGGGTGGGCCCTTCTGAAAACATTACACTGGCCTTTGCGCCACGCGCATTCGTCTTACATGTCTACAACAGTTTCACGGATGGAAGACGGGTGGTGTTCAAAATGCGGCTCTCGCTTTAGCGCCGCGCGCATTCGTAATACACATGTGCAACAGCTTCACTGAACAATCGAATTTAAGGTTGGTGTCCGAGCAGTCGTCTCGAATTTGTACATCAAATTCACGACAGGCGGGCGGGGCGTTTCGAAATGTGGTTCTCGTCTTAGCGCGGCGAACATTCGCCTTACAGCTTACAACAAGCGTACAGATGGAGGGCGGTTCCTTCTGAAAATATGGCTCTCGCCACGGCGCTGCGCACATTCGCCTCACGAGTGTGCAACCGTTTTAAAGCTTGTATGGTCGAAGACCTAAGAGAGGCGTCCTGTGACGGTTAAGCCTGTCAAGACGGAACCGTTTCTTTGATTCGCACTGTTGAAGTCCCACGGATGATGTTCTGACGCGGTTGAGGAGTCAGGACTCACGCAACAGTCACGTTGACTCGCGGAGTCGAGTCCCAAAAACGGCGCTCTGGCACATCATCGTCGTCGTGGTTGTCGTCGTCGTCGACGTCGTCGAAGTCCCTCTCCTCCCTGCCCCTCTCCCCCTCTCCTTCTTCATCCCTCCTTCTCCTTTTTATCGCCCTCATTGACGTCTTCCTACTCCTCCTCCTCCTCCTCCTCCCGCTCTGTTCCCCTTGGTTATTCCTCCATCCCCGTCCTCATTGTGAATACCCGTCGACGTCCAGATCCAGTTCCTCCTTCCCCTCTTCTCCTCCTGCTTACCCTCTCCACCATGCATCCTCAAACAACAAAAAACATCTCCACGTCTTCTAGGGCTTCGGCGAGCCCTCCTACCCCGGAGCTCTCGAGCCGCGTCCAGCTTGTGCCAGCCGTGATGCATCATGCTTCTCGCGGGCCTGCGAAGTCATGGGTCCCACTCGAAAGCCGAAACGGGCGCCAACGACGTGTCGCGCGGACTGGCCCGCGCCACACCGAAGTACCGCGAGTAGCCGAGGTGCCGGGACAGCAAGGGCGGCAGGGCGCAGGCAACGCGCACGCAGACTCTGGGGAGCAGGCGCCGGAACTGGACCAGCACCCCCAGACAGGAGATGCAAGTGACGCGGTCCACGAAGATGTCGACGTTGCCCGTGACGTGCCGCCGGCCCTCGGCTCCCGCGTGCTCGCCCAGGTCTCGCAGGATGCTCAGCAGCACGGCGCGCTCCACGTCCCCGTGGCGCCTGTACGTTTTGTCGAGGAAGCCGACGTCCGCACTCAGCAGGTCCGCGGCGTGCTCCTCGAGGCCCACCTCTTTGGCCACGCTGAACGTCAGCTGCCCGTCGCTCCTCGAGAGGGCCCTGCCGTCGACGCTGGACCGCAGGCTCCAGGCGGCGAAGCCGAGCGCCCGCTGCGCCCAAGGGCTTGCTGCGTCGACCCGCCGCCGGCGCCTCAGCAGCGAGCGCAGCGCCGTCCTCACGAAGCGCCCAGGCGGCGCCCGCAGCCCCAGGCCGCGGCTGACGGGCAGGATCCACTGCTCGCCCACGTCGCTCAGGCGGAAGCCCCGGAGCGACCTCAAGTACGCGGCGCGCCCGCCGCCGCGGACAGGACCGGCGTCGAGCAGCAGCGCCGTCAGCCTCCGGAGCTGCGCGGCCCACGGGCGAATCACGACGCCACGCCACCACGTGGGCCAGCGAGCCTCGGCCGCGCTGCGCCCGCCCCCGTTGGCGAGCGAGTGCAGCACCGCCGGCAGCAGATCGCCGAGCTGGTTGGCATCGGCAAGCCGAGCCTGCAGCACGCGGGTATGCGGGCGGACGACCAGGGACACGAACTGCGGCGGCGCGAGCAGCCGGTGGAACGCGTGCAGCAAGCGCGCCAGCTCCACGGAAGGGGCGGTCTCGAGGGAGTGCCCAGCGCACTGCGCAGCGGCGAAGGCGAGCCCCTGCGGCCACGTCGCAGCCCGAAACGGAGAGCGCCTCACGACATCGAGGGCCTGTGGAAGAAGGTCTCGGTCAAAGCAGGGCGCGCCGAGGGTGCCGAACCCGAGGATCCGAGACCGCAGCTCGTCGACGACGACCCGCCACAGGCCCACCCGGTGAGCCCTGCTGTCCTGAAGAATTTTGGCCAGCGAGACTACCACAGGCAGAGCAACCCCCTGCAAGATGTCCTTCAACTGCGCTTCGAACTCCTGTGCGATCCCTGCGTCCCAGACTGCACAGGTCCCAACCCTGGTGTAAAGCAGCTGTCGCAGCCACCGCTCCACGAGCGCTGTCTCACCCCTCGACACGCACAACGCAAGCGCCGCCGCGACGTCTTGGAACAACCCCTCGAGCCTGACTCCACGCCTGGACAAAGATGCCAAGGCCTCCGCGTAGCCTGCTGGAGGCTGCGGCAACGACTCCAGCCTCAGGGGGGCGTGCAGAGCGCTGGCCGCAAAGCCCAGCAGAGCTTCTGGGGGCATCAGCTCCAGACGGTCAGCGCAGCGCAGCGCGGCCACAAGCGTCGACGGCTGCAGACCTTGCTCCCGAAGCGCCAGCTCCAGCAGCTCGGCGCCGGCGCCCGATCCAGGGCGCGCACACGCCAGCGCATGTAGCAACGTGACGGCCTCCTGTCCACACGTGGCCCCAGCGCGCCCGAGGCTCGCGGCGGTCAGGACGTCCAGCTGTGGGCCGACCAGGTCTGCTGCAGCGAGCCGCGCGGCCGCGTGGGCGATCTTGGCCGCCTGCCTCGGCGGGAGCCAGCGGCGGGCACCGAGCTCGGCCGCCAGGGCGCGCGCCAGCTCGGGCGCCGCCGGCGCGCCGTGGCGCTTGGAAAGGACCACCCGCAGACGCGCCAGCCCGCCCAGCTCCTCCGCGTCCAGTCCGCGGACCTAGCCAGCCTCGAACGTATCCCTACCCCTAAGAGTAACACGCCCAAAGTCGACGACAGTCTCAGGGATGCGCCCTCAGAAACGGAGGGAATCCCTGAGATCGGCATCGAGGTGAAGCGATGCCAATCATAGAAATAGGAATCTGTTCCAGGCTGGTGAGGACCGCCTGCGCCAGCACGCCGGCAGCCTCCGGACCGCGCACGGGGCCACCGCAGCAGCGCGGGCGCGGCGCCGGCGGGCGGAGCCGGTGCCCGCGGCGGAGCATGCGGCGGGCCAGGGCGCGAGGCGGCGCCGCGGCAGGGCGGCAGGGCCGCGGAGGGGCAGCCTGCGGCGGGCCCCGGAGTCTGCATGGCGAGGGGGGCAGCGGCGGCGTGGCCGAGAGCGGGGGGGGGGGGGCGAAACGGCTGCTCCCGGCTGGTCGGCAGAGAGGCGGGCCTCTCTGCCACTCCCCCGCTCGCCCATCCAGGCCCATGCCCTCCCCTGCCAGGAGGGGGAGGCCTCGAGGTCAGAGACAGGGGGGGGCCGTGTTCGAGGCAGCACAGACGTCTTTTATCATGCTGCTGGAGGTACTGCTGCAACAAGCGTATCCAGGCCTGGACAAGGCCAGCACCATATCTTGAGGCGTTGGATGCACGCCTCGTCTGCACATCTTCCTATTCACCGTGCCTCCCTCCAACATTGTTGAACAATGGCTTGATGGCATCCCTCTGTGGGAGCTCCCACTCTCGAGTCGTTTGGATAATCGAACGGATGCCTTGCGGAATCACGCGAATGCTGACTACCAATAGCGTGTACGTACGACGGCTGATGCACATACATGGACTATCCCACGTCACAGACTTGATGCTGTTCAGCAAAGCATGAACAGGATATTTGCCACACTGGTCTCAGTGTTGGTAACACAACCGCCAATTCAGGTCCATCTATCCGTTGCCCAAATCTTAAGGGTTTTGGGGGCTCCCTAGCAAGCTAACAGCCGCGTGGGCGAGACCATGGGCGATACGTGGTCAACTCACGGTCATACTGCCATGACTACTATTACGTGATCGTCTGGAAACACCTGCTCCTATGGCCGTCGACAAAAACGTGCCCCCAGCGCTGACCTGTCATGCTGTGAACAAATCGAGCATCTTCGATGAATAGGCCCCGCGGGTTCACACCCCCTTGCAAGAATCAACTGGCGCTCCCCCTGAACGGGCACTCGTAGCTCGTAGCTCTGAGCGAATTGTCAGCAGACTACGCTGCCGAACCGCATCACACCAAGCAGGCCCTAGACATCCTCCGCCTAGGATCCGTGCAGAGATGGGGCGCCGCCAATATCGCTGCACGCCCGTCGCTTGAAGGGACACTGGTCCGAAGACACCATAACCAAATCTCTCTAGGAGGCCAGGATATGGCTTTACATCCGCAGGCCCGTTCCCAAGGTAACAAAGACGCGCCTCGTGAATCCAAGATCTCCGATGCCAGAACTTGGAGGCGGTTCCAGCCGTGGCAACGAGAGCGCCCGTGGAGGCCCAAGCAGGGCGACAGACGCCACTCACCCCAACGAAAACCTCGCTCGAAGGACGAACCTCGATCGAACGAACGCTGAAACATCTGCAACTTGTTCAGGTCCAAGGGGGGCGAAGAGCGCCCCAAAACCCTAGGGCCTCGAACTTCGATCCTCGCAGGTCGAAGCGAGGAAGGCATGGAAGCATGCTGGAAGAGGTCGGCACCTCGCCAAGCCGTGCCCGCCCCACGCCTTCCGAGAAGGCGCGGGGAGGGGCTTCTCCTGGGAAGGATGCCAGCCTCTTCCATCCTGTGCCTCCTCCTCCTCAACTCGCCCTGCTCCTGCTCCCCTGCTCCTGCTCGTCGCCGACGTCGACGACGTCCTCGTGCTGCTCCTCGTCCTCGTGCTGCTCCTCGTCCTCCTCCTCCTCCTTCTCCTCCTCCTCCATCCCCCCTGGACCGTGATCCGCCTTGGCTCGCCGCCGCCGGTTTCCGTTGCTGGGCTCCAGAAAACTCTCCAGCCCAAGTGTAAGAGCCAGGGAAGGGCGGCAAAACCACCACCATCGCTACAACAAGCAGCAACAAGCCGCAATATAATGCAACATTCGTTGTCACCGCCGCCGTCGTCGCCGTCGCCGTCGCGGCCGTTGCCGTCGCCGTCGCCGTCGCCGTCGCCGCCATCGCCGTCGCCGCCGTCCCCGCCGTCGCCGTCGCCGTCGCCGTTGCCGTCGCCGTTGCCGTCGCCGCCGCCGCCGCCGCCGTCGTCGTCGGTTGTCGTCGTCCTCGTCGTCGTCCTCGTCGTCCTCGTCGTCGTCGTCGTCCTCGTCGTCGTCGTCGTCCTCGTCGTCGTCGTCGTCCTCGTCGATAATAAACGATTATGTTCTTTCGCTTGTCTGAGCGTTTTGGGGGCGTTCTGGTGAGCTCTGGGGGGGTCCGAGGGTCAGGGGGAGTTGCACTACTCTTTCAGGGTGAGGTAGGAGCCAGGAACGGTCATCCTGGTGGTGTAGTCTCCCCCGCTCGCTCGAGACATCTCCTACGGCCAAAGCGGAGAGGCACCGCGGATCGCCTCGCCAGATGGTGGCCCGCTGGTGCTAGGGCTCCAAGTGTTCGACCGCACGCGTGTCGAGTCCATAGTCCCGAACACCGACTTGGCCCAAGAAACCTCAAGGTTGGAAGCATTGTTCCCAAACTTCTCTCTGGGGCCGAGGCGCAAATCCCACTCTGCGGGGTCATTCAGAACATCCGCCGTGGCACGTCGAGGCGTGTTACAATGCCTGTTCTGCTGGTCTCGTCCTGCTGGCCCCAGGAACCAAAAACGAATACGGGGCGCCGAAACCACAGCACAACAACGTCTGCTGGGTTTCTGCTCGTGCCCCTGGCCCCTGAATGATACCCTCCAGACCAGGTCTTCGAGCTGAGCCGACCCGTGGCCACGAGGATCCCCTGCCACGAGACAAAGTACAAGAACCTCCATTTCCGCCTCGGCGGTCGGGACCTCCGCAGAGTCAAGCGGCAAAACATGATCGACCCACGAATCCGGCAAGGAATTCAGAAACGCGAGGCATGGCTAGGTTTTCAGGACGCATGATTGGGAAACAGGAAATTGCAATTCTGAGTGTTCCGATCGTGATGTAACGTGCCAAGGGTCGTGCTGTGCTGTGCAGTGCAGACATGAGATGGGTCATGCTGCGATGAATTGCGTTTTGCCTTGTGGTGCTGTGGATCAAGCCGCCCTTGGCATCCGAATCCTGGCCGGACTGATCTAGACCTCGAGCTCGAGCTGCCTGAGCGCATAGCTGGCCCGCAATCGAAAAGTGTGGGGCGCTCAATCAGCTCCAGGGTAAAAACCCGACCCAGTTCAGACGCGGGACGAGACGACACGGAGCGCAGGGCGCATGGACGCGCCACGGAACGTGCCAGGGGCGCACTACGAGGATGCGCCAGGGGACGTGTCAGGGGCCGTGGCAAGGGGCGCGCCACGGACCGGGCAGGGAAAACGGCAGGGGACAAGCCAGGGAACGCGACGGACGACGAGCCGAGGGACGCGCCGCAGGGGGAGGGGCATACGCCGCGCCGCTCTGGGGTGTTAGGAACCCAAGTGATTTCATCCTTTCCTCATCCTGGGGCGTTGGGAACCCACGTGTTTTCACCCGTGTCCCGCCCTGGGGCGTTAGGAACATAAATGCTACGACGCTTGCCCCTCTCTGGAGCGTCAGGAACCCACGCGTTTTCACGCTTGCCCCGCTCCTGGGGCGTCAGGAAGCCACGTGATTTCACTCTGGGGCCGCGCTCCCAGGGCGACGATCCCTTGTGAATTACGAGAGGGTCACGATGCCAGGACCACGATCCCTTGAAAAATTTCGCTTGGTGCGCGCTCCCAGGGCCGCGATCCCGTGTGGAAAAAACGCTGGGTCCGCACCCTCAGGGCCGCGATCCCTTGCGAATCACGCTGCGTCCGCGCTCCCAAGGCAACGATCCCTTACATATATTAGCTGCGTCCGCGCTCCCAGGGTTCGGAGGGCGCTTCGACCCCCACGCCGTTTCCAAAATAAATGTGCGCTGGACCGGACGCCGCGAATCCACGTAAATTACGCTGCGCCCGCGCTCCCACGCGATTCCTTTTGAATTTACTCAGGTTCGCGCTTCCAGAGGCCACGATCCCTTGCAAATTACGCTGGGTTCGCGCTCGCCTGGCCGCGAGCCCGCGCAAATTACGAAAGAATCACCCTCCCAGGGCCAGGATTCCCAATTGATTACGCGAGATTCGCGCTCTCCTCAGCAGTTACGCTGCGTCCGCGCCCCCATGGGTAGGATCCCTAGTAAAGTACGCTGCGTCCGCCCCCGCATGGCTAAGATCCTTTGAAAATTACGCTGCGTCCGCGCTCCCAGGGCCACGATCCCTGGTGAAGTGCACAGTGTCCGCGGCCGCAGGGACACGATACCCTGTAAATTACGCTGCGTCCGCTCTCCCTGAGACACGATCCCTCGCTTGTTTGTAATTTTCAATGGAATTCCAGAGCCTCCAAACCTCGTCACATATTGCAGATTCTGCGCAACACGTTCCTTACATCGGAACACAAGGGTCTGCAGACCCGTTATTTATCTAGGATCCGAGATAGGGAGCACACCTTCCTCGAGCGGGCACGCGAGAAACGCATTTTGTGAAACAACATGGGGCATCACATTGTTATTGATCGCAAGTAAATGCCGCCGGGCCTCTTCAAGTCGAAGCAGGAGGCTAAACCAACTTAAAGGGAACCCTTTGCCTATGCCCTTGCCGGGCAAAACAAGTCCCGAAAGACTGAAGTCCACAACCCAGCGACGATCAAACTCGCAGCCAACCGCTTGATACAGCGCGCAGCCAACCGCTTGATACAGCTTCCCTGGACCTCCGCTGCCATTACGTGTTCAATACAAGGTCCCAGGAACGCTCGACCCCCCCCCTGGAGACCAACTCTTTGCTCAGTGGTGAGCGGACGCTGGAGGCCAGGAATGATGGCGAATGTTTGCGGAGAGCAACCTCCGCCTCGATGTCTGCTCGGGGCGTTGGGGATCGCTTCGGGCCCTCCCTCCGCAGTCGTGCCCCGCAGGACCTGCGTGAGTGCGCGTGGTGGCCAGGACTTCCAGGCGGAGCCAGCCGTCGCTACGACGGAGCCCCACGAGCTTCACCAACATACATGTCCAAACCGCTTGACGGCCGAACCTCGATATTCGAACCGCGTGCCTCCCCAGATCTCCGTCGTCGCCATTATCCCGCCACGTGGACCCCTGTTAAATGTTCGAATCCTTCCTGGGGCCCGGCATTTTTCCCTGGGTAGCGTTTGTCGGTCCCGGGGTCGGGGAAGGACCCCCCAGGATCCTCCAAATGGCCATGTGCCTTCTGTCGTGTTTTGCTAAAGACGCGAGGGGTCTGCATGGGATGGGTCCTCCCCATCCCTCCCCCTCGTTCCCCTCTCCCGCCCCAGGCCCAGGCTTCACGTATGTCCTCCAACGACGAGGCCGCACGTCGGCATCTTTGCTGGGCCCCAGCACGGCGCGCCAGTAACACTGTCCGAGCCGCGATGCCTGTCACAGCCCCAGGAAAAACACACCAACCCAAAGGGGTCCCTTCTGAGCCTATCCGGCGGATTGTGTTTTCAATCCGAGCGTTTTTCTTAAATTCGGCCCCTGAGGACTGCTTTCGGGACCCAGACCCAGGGCCATCAAAACCATATTCAGGACGAAAACGCACCCCTGGGGACGGGGACGACCCTCGGGGGCCCGAGGATGGGACCGCATGATCGCGCGATAGGCCTTCGGCTCCGCTCGGCCGCCGAATGGTCTCGACTCAGGGCCCGTTTGGTGGCCGGCTGGGCTCAGATGCCGTGTGGGCCAAGAAGGGAACCCCAGGACAGAGCGCACTTCGCCACGGCCGCGGTCTTTTGCGGGGCCGGGCGCAGCAGAAGTCTGAGACATCTGGAGCCAGGAGGAAAAAAATGTGTCCTCCTCATCCCGCCCGGTCGGCCACCTCCTCCAACTCCCACCGCTCGTCTTCCGCCCTCCCCCCCCCCTTCTTGCAGAGCAGGCGCAGCCTTGACCGTCCGCGCCGGCAGAGCCGCCGCGTCGGGGGAGGCGCGAGCCTGCCGAGGGCCACGTGGACTCTCAGACTCCCCTGCCAGGGCCCTGACCGGTGCCTCCGGCTGCGTCCAGCCGTGGCCACGCGTGCTCCCCCCGAAGCCGATGCACGTGAGACGCGAGATCTGCCGCACCACGTAACAGTGCTGACCTGGTCGGACAGGGACGGGCAGCGCTGCTTTCGTCCTGTGGGCATGTTTGGCGAAGAGAGAGAGAAGGAAGGCAGGCGCGGGCGACGAGGAGGCGATGACGATGACGACGTGAAGAACACATGACGGTACTGCTAAGTCTGCCACCGTGCCCCCGGTCGCGTTGAGGCTGCCTGACGTATAGGGTTTTTGCAATATGCAACGGGATCGGCCCCCATTCTACTAGCAGGCTCCTCCATGCTTCCCCCTACTCACACAACTTCCCTTGTGCCCGATCGCGGATGGTGCACTTCCAGCATGACAGCTGATACCTAAACCCCCTTTTCCACGCGTGCCCACTCAAATGCCTAAACCCTCCTTCACGCGTGCCCGCTCAAGGATGGTGCAATGCCCGCATGGCAGCGAGTGCCTGAATCTCCTTCACGCGTGCCCGCTCGAGGATGGTGCACTTCTCGCATGGCAGCTGAGGCCTGAACCCCTCTTCCCGGCGTGCCCGCTTGAGAATGGTGCACTTCCCACATGGCAGCTAATGCCTGAACCTTCATTCCATGCGCGACCGCTCGAGGATTGCGCACTTCCCGCATGGCTGCTACCTCATAGACCCCTCATCCCACGCGCACCCGCTCGAGGATCGCGTGCTGCCCGCATTCCCAGGCGCTGCGCCCAAGCGCTCCAGGGCATCCCAATCCACAATCCCTTGTTAAAGACCATGGATATGCGTATTGAGCTTCCAAGACGGCCCATGCAGGCAACAAAGCACACCAAGATGGCCAAAGATGCATCGAAAACGGCCCAAGATGGCCCCACGGCGGCCGAATATTGCTCCAAGGAGGCCCAAGATGCCTCCAAGAGGGAACAAACTGGCTACAAAAAACCGCCATCAGGGTCCGAAGAAGCCGAAATCATCGAAGTTGCAGTGTTTGTTGACAGGTTCCGTATTCTCGCCTTTTCGGGCTGCCGTCAGCTCAAGACGGCCCAAGGAGACTCCACGATGGCTCAAGAGGCATCCAGCACGGCCCCGAGACGGCCCACGAGGCCCTCCCGTGGGACCCAAGACGGCCTTAAACGGCCCTTCGACGCTCCAAGATGGCCCCATGACGGCCCCCAGGCACCCACCACACGGCCAAGAGGGCCGCAAGACGGCCCAAAAGAACCCCAAGCCGGCGGACGAGAGCCCCAAGACAGCCCAACAATTCACCAAGGGACCCCCAAGACTATCTCCCAGGAGGCCACGACAGCCCCAAAACGGCCTAAACGAGTTTCATGATCCCCCCTCCTCCTCCTCCTCCTCCCCCTCCTCCTCCTCCTCCTCCTCATCATCATCATCATCAGCATCATCATCATCGTCAGCATTATATCATCATCATCGTCGCCATCATCATCATCATCCGCATCAGCATCATCTTCATCATGGTCATGATCATGATCATGCTCATCATCATCATCATCATCATCATCATCATCATCATCATCGTCGTCGTCATCATCACCACCACAACCACCACCAACACCATCACCATCGCCACCACCACCGCCATCACCATAATCAGCTTCATCAGCATCATCATCAACACCATCATCAGCATCGGGGTCCTTAGCATCATCGTCCGCATCCATATCTTCATCCCAATCCTCATCTTCACCCTTACCACCATGACCATAATCATCGTAAAGATAACCATCATCATAATCGGCATCACCATCATCATAACAATCACCATCACCATCACCATCTCGATTATGATCAGTAGCATCATCACCAGTACCACCCTCATCGCCACCAATCATTCATCATCGTCATCATCACCATCATCATCATCAGCCACGTAAGCACCGTCATCATCACACATCGTTACAGATCACCATCGCCGAACACCATCATCAACATCATCGTACTCGTCATTGTCGCCACCATCATCATTAGCATCACAATCACCATCACCATCATCAGCACCATCATCAGCATCATCATCCGCCTCGTCGTCGTCACCATCATCATTATCATCATCAGCATCGTCATCATCATCGGCATCAACCAATCGTCATCCTCATAACCCCCATCATTCTCATCGCGGCTCTCCCTAACCTGGGACACGAAGTGTCACACGTGACGGCCTCCCTTGTCCCCTGCTATCGATCGCCACCCAGAAGGCAGGGTTGGCACGGTGGCAGGACTTGCCGCAGACAGCTGGACATTCGGCGCTGGGATCCCCACATGTGCAGCTCAATTCCTGGTACTTGCGCATGTGAGCATCCGAGTGAAGGAGTTTTAAGCTGTGGCGAGCGGCCCCAGCTTGGAGCGCACACGTGCTGTGACTGCTGCGACTCTGAAAGGAGAGCGGCTGGGGATGCCCTTGCCAACGGTTCGTCTGAGATGTCCCACGATCTGGGCGCATATTGGCAAATGCATCGCCCCCCTTTGCGGCGCGAGGCTCGGGTGCACAACTGCGAGGCCTACTACACCATTGTGGTCATAAGGCTCTGAGCGGAGAGGAGTCGGGTGTGCCAAAACCAATGAGCCGAAATCTAGGTGCGGACGGTCAAATACAACACCCTTTGGCGGCTCCTCCATGGGTGGACGTGAAACGGCACGTGTCCTACCCCCATGGCGGCTCCTCCTTGGGGTGGTCCCATGGCGTGCCTGCTGTACCATTGTGATCATTAGGCTCTGAAAACGGAAGGGGCCGGGGGCCCAAAGCGATCAAAACGCTCGAGACACCTCCACTACCTGGGAATTCAGAAGCAGCTCTACTACCCCCTGGCGGCCCCTGCCTGGCGTGCTCACATGGCACGCCTGCCACAATAAGGTAAGAACGAGGTTTTCACAAAACAGAAGTCGTGGCTACCAGACAAGCGAACCGCCTAAGACACCCCCACAGTCTGGGCGCGAATGGGCTGATGTCCTTCCATATGGCGCGTTATGTGGGATGCTCAACTCTCACGCTTGCCACATCGATATGCGACTGGGGCTTCGAACAGAAAAAACACCTAAACCTGGGCCACTAACCAGGCACACCGCATGAAACATCCCAACAATTTGTCAGCGAACGGGCAAACGTCTTACCCCTGGCAGCTGCCCCATTGGAAGGTTCAAGCCACGCCTGCTTGATCACGGCAAGCATGGAACACCCAAGAAACACAACGCTGGGCCACCAGAGGCGTAAACCGCTAGAGACATCCCCGCAATCTGGGCTCGAGCGGCCATGTGCCCGACCACCTGCTATTTCGCAAACAAAAAGCGACGTACCCGATCCATCTGCATCAATGACAAAAGAGGTGGCCAGATTGTGATGGACGGTGGCACCGCGGGAACCACCAATAGTTCGGGATGCTACATGGGATGTGCGCGCGCTGCGCGACTCTTAAGACAGCAATATGAAAACGGACAAGGAGGCCCCAGGCTTGACAATGAATGAGAGCGGGAACGAGGAACAGAAAATGGACAGAAGCTTTGCCGAAAAATCAGCGCGGCCGCAGCAGGGAGACAGTGGAAGGGAAAAGAGGTCGACAACGAAGAGGCGGGGTGAGAAAGGAGGGTGGCGCTTTTGTCAGCATCGCGTTTACAACCAGCACAGCCCGCGCCACATCGCTCTGGCGCGTCGAAGGATGATGTGTGCATAGCTGGAGCACGAAACAAGCGAAGCCGAGTTCGCCCGCCAGCCTCTCCGCTCTCCTCTTGCACCTCTTCATGCGGGAACTAACCGCCCGAAGGCGCGCCGCCAGGACTGCGGGCGCACCAGCGATGCACTGGCGACGTCGGCGATGCATGGGGCGACGTCGGCGTGGAGAAAATCGAGCTCTGCATCGATCAGCATTGGCGATGCATTGGTGATGCGGCGCGATCCTCCGACCCCATCTACTCGGACCCCATCTGAGAGGCCAAGAACAAAACACGTACGCACCCAACCATGTACACGAACACGGCCCACCCATCCCCGCGAGACCGGCCACGTGATACGAACGTTCGAGCAATGTGTACTCGCGAAACCAACGTGGATTCATTAACTGGTACGTCATTGATTCGCTCGTGATTGGAGGGGGGGGCTCCTGGCGCAAGTATCATCACATCGGGGAAAAGTGCCCAGCGGCGGGGCCGAAACCAGCTGCATGAAGCACATCTCGTACGGCCGGACCTAGGACAAAAGAACACCCCTCAAGAACACGAGAACCTCCGCCGGCCAAACTGGAAAACATTCCAGGGTACCCTCCCCCAGGATGCACAAGAACATCCAACAAACACGAAGAACATTAGAGTACCCTCCCCGAAACGACCCAAATCTTACACCTCGGTCCAACCGTACCATCCCCCCCGTTTCACCATCTCACTTCGGATGCATACACTGGGAGGTCAAATTCTGTTTTTGCCATGGTCCGTCCGGCGCAATCCGGCTTAATCGGGCTTAATCGGGCTTAATCCGGCTTGATCCCGCCCAATCCGGCTTAATCCGAGGCCCACTCCGGCATAACAGCCCCCCAATGGGGCTTAATCCTCTTGAATCTTTCCGACAAAAACCTCCCAGTAGTTGCCTCCTGATCCCACTCTTCGTGCCGACCCGACAGGGGACCACCTACGCCGGCCTTCGGCCGGGAAGAGCTCCGCTGGCGCGCCAGGCCCGCTGCGCTGCCAGCCCTCAGGAGTAGAGGCTGCCGGCGGGAGCCGCCTGCTGCACCTGCGGGGGGGCGGTCACATGGAGATTCGAAGGTCGAGGATGAAGCGATCGATCCCTAGTCCTCGATCTTCAAACCTGAAGGGGTCCTGGGACGCACGAACAAATAGACACGAATAAAGGGATTCCACATATATTGCAATATTTGTCGGGTTTTCGTCTTCCCCCCCACTTCCCATATTTTCCCATATTTCTTCGGAATCGACGATTAGTTGTGTCTGTGTCTTTTTCCTCCTGAAGACCTTTTCTTCGATCCTCGGCTCCCGATGCCGATCCTGTAGACCTCGATTCTCGAACTAATCCTTGAATCATCAGGCCTCGAGAGACCAAACAGCGAAGATCGATATGGAACTTCGAGGGTCGAGGTTTGTGAATGTCTGGGCCTCTGTTGAGCTTGTCGCTGCCACGGCGAAGCTCCCATGAACATTCTATCAAGGACGCACTCCATAGCTTCTCCAGAACCGATGTTGGATCCTCACACCTGATCGGGGGGCCCAGATCTCTGCCAACGCATACTCGCACACACACACACACACATACACACAGACACACACACACACACACACAAATACACACAGACACACAGACACACACACACACACACGTACACACACACTTTGAGTGCCCGCGGGAAGGAGCCACCCGATGCCAAATGATGCTGGCAGACGCGCGCGCGATCAGAGAACAGGAGTCGCCGGGCCCTGACGGGGCAGTGGCTGGGCAGTCGCCAGGCCCTCACGTGCCGAGGCAAGGGGCAAGGCATAGCCAAAGCCGGCAAAACATATGACGACAATGGACCAGCAAAACAAGGAGAATGGGGGACAAACGAAAACGAGAGGGAAGCGAGGAGCGAGGAACGATAGCGGGTTGCCGAATGCACATCGGCGTAAGGAGTCTTTCCGCTGAATCCCCGACCAACCCTCAAAGGTGGCGACATATTTGCATGTCGCAGCCCCCTAGGGATGGCGAGGTCTGAAACCGACGGCAGGACGGCGAAATACAAAACAGGGTTGCAAGCAAATAGGAGGGGACAGGAAGAGGGGGGCGGGAGGAGGAGGTCCCGACCGCAGCGCTCTGTTCAAAACGAATACCCACAGCAGGAGGGTTGGGGATAATACCACGCGGCGCATATCTGCTGATCTGAACCTCGCCTTCTCAGGCCTTCAACCCTCAAGATTATATTCACAGGGTTTGTTTTTTTTTCCGCGTCGCGATCGCGCACCTGATGGCCCCAAAATCGCCTTCTGAAGCCCTCGACCTTCGCGCTGCTCGACAACAACTTTTCGCGATGAAAATATATCCCTCCTGCGCTCCTCGCTCTCACGGCGCCCCCCCCCTCCCCCCCATTTTCAGGGCGCCGCGGGGGGCTCTGGACGGCGAGGCGAGGCGGGGGCGCGGCAGGCCTGCCAGCTCACCTCGGCCCGCGCGGCCGTAAAGGCCAGCCGACACGGGCCTCCCGCCCCCCTGCGGCCACAGCTCGCGCTGCGTCGGGGCCCGTCAGGGCAGGGGGCGGGGGGGGAGAAATCGACCCCTCGCGGCGCACTGCGGACTTCGGCCCCCCAAGGCCGAGGGAAAACACCGGGCCGAGCATGATCCCGAACACGCCGGACGGGTTTAGCTGGGCCGTCGCCGTCGATAGGCATCCCGCTCAGCGCAGGGATGTTGCCGTTGGAGGCCTCGGCGCAGAAAGCCCAGCACTCGTCGCGGGGCGGGTGGCGGCGCCAAAAAGGCCCCAGTGGGCAGGGGAGAGATCGCTGCACTAATCAACGAGGACGATGAAGTAGTGCTCTTCCCCCACCTGCTCTCCTCGCTGCTCGCGCGGCGCCCCCCCCCCCCCCCCCCCCCCCCCCCCACCGCCCCCGCATTTCCAGGGCGCCGCGACGGGGCCCGAGCGGCGAGGCGAGGCGGGGGCGCGGCAGGCCTGCCGGCTCACCTCGGCCCGCGGGGCCTTGAAGGCCAGCCGACGCGGGCCCCCCGCCCCCCTGCAACCGCAGCTCGCGAGGCCCGTCGGGGCAGGGGGCGGGGGAAAAGCAATCGACCCCTCGTGGCGCGCCAGGGGAAAACAAGAGGCCGAGCACGATCCCGAGCTCGCCGAACGGGTTTAGCTGGACCATGTCCCGCTTGCCAAGGCGACAAGGATGATGCGCAGCTTGATCCGCAGCAGGGAGAACCAACATAACCCCTTGACCAAGCTCACCGATAATGGCTGCTAGGCCACGGGCAGGCCTAGGGTTAAGCTAGCCGCCGCAGTAGCGCACCCCCTTTGGCAATGAGCTTCTGCTCGCGTGCTGCGAGACGAAGTTGCTCCGGCATCGCGACGCCATCCTGAGTGCAAATGCGGCAGGTCTGCCAGTGGCGCGGGCCCACCTGCCCCGCAACTTGGCGCGAGACATGTTGCCCGGCACCTGCCAGTGCTGGGGGGCGCCTCCTCCTGAGGCTGTAGGGATTGCGCCTCTGGGGCCAGCGCCCATTTTGCCCCGCGGCCGTCGGGGGCCCGCGCGGAGGCAGGGCGACCTGCGTGGGAAATGGGCTTTGCCTTTAGCGCGGCCAGCCAGCGCGCGGGCAAGCAGGCGCACTGCCTCGAGGTCGTCAATGATGACGTGCTCGGGGATCCCTGCCCTCTTGCCACTCTTTGCGAGGACGAGGTTGATGCGGCAGGCGCCCCGCTCAAGGTCGAACGCGCACTGCCCGGAGCTCAGCATGAGCTCGCGCGGCCGAGGGAAGCTGTTGGAAACGACCAGCAGGCCAGCCGCCATGCTGGGGTCACCCTCCTCTAGGGCGTAGCCGACCATGGCAAGGACTTGCTGCGCCAGCAACGGCCTCGCCCTGGAGGGAACCTCGTCCTTGCACCGCGTGCAGTGGGGCCCCCGAGCGTCGTTGATCCCCCGCTTTCCTTTTCCCCGGCCCCCCCCCCCGCCCGCGCCAGCCCGGCCTTTGACGAGACTTTGCTTTTTTCTTCTGGGGTTGGGCTAGCCGGAACGCCTTGTTGTGCGGCACCATAAATAGGTCGCGGGAGGACCCCGCCATACGCCAGCAAAGCCGCTAGACGTTCCCGCCCGATCCTGCAGGCGACCACGCAGAAACCATCGCCCCTTGAGGATGTCCTTGTCTGTGTCTGTCCCTCTTTTCTCTCTTTCTCTCTATGCCCCCATCCTACAGTGGCATCCGTGCAAGGTAATTGGATATTGTGTCTTTTTGAGCGCAAGTCACGGACCGTCGAGCATTCGTTCCACATATCCTAAGTATGGGGTTCTTGTTCCCCATATCCTAAGTATGGGGTTCGTGTTATTGGCGGACCGCGCCGGAAGAACAGTCAGTCAGTCATTCTGTGGCTTCAGCACTACTAAGGAGACACTCGCGGCGGACAGGTCCATGCGAATAGAGGCACATATGGGGAGCTCCACGCAGTGAGTAATTATTGTGGCTGGCGCTGTCCAGATATGTATGCCATGCCCTCTACGCGTGCATCCTTTCAGGTTCGCACCTCGTCTTTGTCTTGTTCCCGCCACGTACCAGGGTTGTCGGTCATCCGTTTTTTTTTTTTGCTTCCAGGGTCTCATCGTCTCCCCCCTCTCTTCTGTCTGTCTCTCTCTCTCTCTCTTTCTCTCTATGTCCCCATCCTACAGTGGCATCCGTGCAAGGTAATTGGATATTGTGTCTTTTTGAGCGCAAGTCATGGACCGTCGAGCATTCGTTCCACATATCCTAAGTATGGGGTTCTTGTTCCCCATATCCTAAGTATGGGGTTCGTGTTATTGGCGGACCGCGCCGGAAGAACAGTCAGTCAGTCATTCTGTGGCTTCAGCACTACTAAGGAGACACTCGCGGCGGACAGGTCCATGCGAATAGAGGCACATATGGGGAGCTCCACGCAGTGAGTAATTATTGTGGCTGGCGTTGTCCAGATATGTATGCCATGCCCTCTACGCGTGCATCCTTTCAGGTTCGCACCTCGTCTTTGTCTTGTTCCCGCCACGTACCAGGGTTGTCGGTCATCCGTTTTTTTGCTTCCAGGGTCTCATCGTCTCCCCCCTCTCACTCCTCCCCCTCCCGTCTTTGGGCCCCCTCTCCCTGTACCGGCCCCCCTCGGTCTCTTTTGGTACCCCCCCATCTATACGGCTTTCTTCGTGCGCCTCCCTGGTCCTGTGAGGTGGACGGGGGCCGCCGTCCGGGCGTGCATACCCCCCAACAACAACAACAACCGGACAGGGTGTCACCGACAAGGGGGCGAGGCTCGCCCGCTCACCGGCGCCCCTCCAGAAATGATCCAAGAATCTACTCGGTGGCCTCAACGCTCGACGTCAGCAGCTCGCCAACTCGCTCGAGCCATCAAGAACAAAAACATACCGGCTTCCCTATGGCGCTTGAGGGTCGCCGGATGAAGCTGCAATGGTCGTGAGCTGCCTGCCATTGCTCTCGCCACTTGCCGCTGGCTCCTCGCGCCGTCGAAATGCTCATGCCAGCCAGCTGCTGGCGGTGCCGGCCGGTTCCATCTCCGACCGCGCGCGCGCAGCGCGGGTGGCACGAGGTGGCAGGCAGCAAGTCACGCAGGCGAGGCAGCATGCGTTACAATAAAAGGACGACGGGCGACCCTCGCAGGCGACGGCGACGCGCACCTATCGGGTCGCAAAACTAGATGACGCGACCCTGCCGGTGGCCAGCCCCTCGGGCGCCAATTGAAGGTCGCCAGCAAGGCCTCCATCTCCAGCGCATCGGTGAAACCTGGCGCCCTGGTGAATGAGGATAGCCACTCCTCGGTCAGCTCGAGGGATTCGGGGGGTGCCGGTGGCGAGCCGCGCGTCGGGGCCCATGAAAGCCGCTGGCCGCGCCATGGACTCACGGGCCGCGCGATGGACATCGGCGTCGCCGAGCTCGCTGAAGTCCTTGCCGCCCATGTCGCATTGGAAGGCGCGATCCTCATAGCGCCGGGCTGGGCGGCTCGTCGAGGAGGCCGCATGAGACGAAGCCGCGCCCCAAAAGAAAAGCCACGACCGGGGCCTTGA